CCCCCCCCCCCAATTGGCGTGGGGTTTGGGGCCCGGTGATGGGCTGCGAATAATTTGGTACTTAAGAGGGCGAACGGTGCCATTTGGTACGGTATAGAACTATGATTCAGCTGGTGAAAATTCTAATTTCAAGAGGGGACGATTTTTTTTATTGATTTCAGAAATCGAAGGGGGGGGCAGGATCCCCCTGACACACACACCCTAAATCCGCCACTGTATATGAGTGTCTGATCGGTTCACATGCCACGTACTAAAGGTATTTAGAAAAATGTCCTTTGAAACAGATCTACGTTCACTTACGGATCACAATCACAATGAAAAAAAATTCATTTTATTATTAAATAACCTTCCAGCATTAGGTAGCTTTCGTCTTAATTAAATGAAGTCTTGTCCTTTCTTGCAAAAAAGTGCTAGGACCAATAGATATTATTATCAATATATATATATATATATATATATATATATATATATATATATTACCACGTGACTATGATTATAAAAGCTCAATATAACAGTCAGTTTTTATCGTTTGGTCCAAAAACCATTTTGTCCACAGGATAGAGATGGGCCAGATACCAGATATAATTCAAACATCACTGGCATTTGTACGCAATACAGAGTGACTGACGCACGAGTTGTTTATTTTTCATGCTGTCTCCACCTCAGCAAGGTAAATACATGTAGTAACACTGTCATTAGTTGAAATCAAAAGTTCCCCACCCCTGTTAATATGAGGAATCTTGATGACAAACACCAGTAATTTTCACGAGCAGTGAAATGTCAAAGGGACCAGAGCACTATTACTAAGGTAACACAGTCCCAGTACACTGGGTCAAAAGTTTAACACGGCTGTTGGTCAAAATGACGATGATTTATTTACGCTAACATGTAGGATAAAGCTCAACAACATCCAAATGAGGCAACTTGTTTAATGTTTTTTTTTAACTGAATTAAAATTACTTTTTTTTATAAAGTACGACTGGTCATTTGAAACTTTTGGCTTTTCCAGCCATTAACGCTGTTCACGACATGATTAGGAAGTGTGCAGATAATCCAAATTCAAATTCTAATTAACCGCCTTGATTTCAGTGGAAAATACATGTGGTTGTGGTAGGTTCATTGTGGTGTGTCGTTATTGTAGAGGTGTAATCAAGGAAGTATATATAGGGCCTATATACTTCACTTCCTTGTTGTAATAAATATCACGGAAGTTGTTCCGTTGTCTGTTAAATCTCCGTGAGTAGTCCCGTTGTCCGAAACCGCGTCACGCAAGCCCGTGCCAAGGGTAGTGGACGCTTGTGGCCACTCATTCCTAGTATCAGCGGAAATTATCTAAAATAAAAAAGGCTGCTGTAATCAATGTAATTGTCCACTGTCATTGATATGGACATAGAGTAAACGTGCGTGATATACATTTTCTAAAATTATCACAACTATGGGAGAAAGAGTAAGACTAACACTGAAATATTTAAATGAGAGAAAAAAAATGAAATATTTAAAAATATTGGTTAACTATATCATAAGTAAAAATACTTATCCAATAGTATAACTGCCCAACGTCAAAAAAAAAAATAATAATAATAAAATAATAATAATAATAATAAAATGAAATAAAAAAAAGTGGTAAGTACATCTTGGCACGACCCAGGTCTTGCAGCCAGTGTTTTCAGTCACAGTTTGGACAAATTATATATATATATATATTGTTTGTCCAAGATCGTTCCATCTCCGCGAATAATCTCGCTGAATGAAATCAGTTGATCAGGTTAACATAACTCCTGGCGTTGAGTAAAATACAGAAAATCTGGTGATAATATCAGTGCGTTGGAAGCAATAGGAGGCGTGTTAATCTGGTAAACCAAGAAGTTATAACTTCTTGGGTAAACTGCAGGCCCATAGCCAGCAATTTCAAAAAGGGGGTTCGTTTTTTGAAAAAGTGGAATTTTTCCCATAAAAACTTCATGTACCTAGATCAAATTTTACCCAGAGTGGACCTTTTCCCAGCAAAAGGGGCGGTTCTTTCGAACCCCCCGAACCCCCCCCCCCCCC